GCTCATTTTGGGTTTTGCCTGTTCGCTGTACTTGATACTGGAGACAGACAGGATGATTCAGCTGTAAAAATTAACTTTGGGTTAGTTAAAAAAATACATCTGCAAGGCATTCAGTGCTTCAGTGTTGGCCTGGGGCACTTACTCTGAGATGATCTGTAATATTGGACTCCACATGCAGTTTGCCGTCATGCCCCTTCCTGTTTGTCCTCTGCAAATTAAGAGCACCAGAGAAGACACAGATATGGGTACTATAATACTTTTATACACAAATCCTCATTTTCATATATTTGTATAGTATGTTTATATTTATTCACACACTAGGCACTAAAAATAGCACATCTGCACTGGCAGAAAAATGAGGCTAAATCTGTTTCATCTTTTAAATTCCTTCCAAAAACACACTTTTATAATTCTGACATGTGAAGCACAACAGTGTATTTTAAAATGTGCTATAGAAATAAAAGTTATTAAAATTATTATGATTATTATTATTATCATCAAGCTTTTATGTATATTTATGCAATATTTCCTGTGTATCCTTGGGATTTATTTTATTCTTAATGCTTTTTTTGTATTGTAATAATTTATTTATAATTTATTACTCGGTACACACTGCTATGTTTATATATGTTTTTAACCTCTTTTTAATAATTTCCTTGATTGTTGGAATGTTTTTGGTTCTATCTATCCATACATTACTTTTAATCTGCATAGTCTGTCAGCACTGTAAAACCAGATAAATTCATTTAACTCAAAAAAATGTTGAAACTGATTACATCAAAAATCTAAAAATCTTAAGTAACACAAACAACAAACAAATTTGTTGGGTTAAGATTCTTGATTAAGCCGCTTTTACTAGTAATTTTAAGTGACACTAACTTAGTTTTGTAAGTAACAGTAACATTGCTGATTGATAACTTTTTACTAGATATTTTGTTTTCACAGTACAAATAAAAATTACAAAAATGAATTAGTCTCACTTAAAATTACTAAAGCTACTTGATCAAGAATGTTATTCCTAACTTACAAAATTGAGTTAGTTTTACTTCAAAAGTTTGATTGATTGATTTTAAGGTTAAATGACCTTATCTGGTTTTACAGTGTTGTTGATTTGTTTCCTTATTTCAGTTTCCAGAGTTAATTCAGTAGCACAGTGCAGTAATGATGTGAACTTCCCTGGCAGACAGTCATGATATATGATTGAGGTAAAACGGCTGATGCCATAAGTTTTCACTGAATGCATCATGAATGTCTGTACATAATCTTACCAATCCATCTAATAGTGGTTGAGATATTTTAGTGTGAACCAAAGATGGATGCTCATTCCTCCTCTCTTTAAAATCCTGTTTCTTACAGTCACACAGCTCATACACTATACTACCTATAAATCACCTGACAAGTTGGACCATTGTGTATAGCTGGAAGTGTTACAGCCTCTTTGTCCTCCTGCAAGACATACATTGAACAATATCTCATTATTACCACAGAGACTTCTATAAAATACTACAAATAAAAATACATAAAAAAATATTTGTATACAATATCTTAAAGATCCCCTCCAGACAAAGGTATGGTATGTAATTTCTGGGGGTCTCTCACATCAAAACAATAACAAAAGACAAAGATGAGTCATGAAACGCAGAATAACCTGAATAAAATGACAGATTTTGAGAGTTTGAACATTGTTGGAAACATTTGGGATATTGGAAGTACACAACTCAACTACATATAGAACACAGCTCTTTAGAGTTTATAGACAGTTTAATGAGAAAATGTTACATATAGCTATACTTACTCAATACTGAGTTTAACAAACAGTTTTTATTTTTGGTACAATTATTTCGAATTGCTTAAAGCTGTAGTGTTGATGAATACAAGCTTCAATTAAATTAACTGTATAGAGTTTTTAACACACAAAAAGCCAGTATGAATAAAAACTATATCACTGGTCATAAAAAACACTTACTTTCTTCTTCTTTCTGGGAAAAAGCCCGACTCTGTAGTAGCTCCACATTCTGTCACCTGCCGCCGATACCAGAGACATCCATCTGTCAAGCGTGAAACAATGAAATAACCAACTTCTGCTCGCAGATTTCAAAATAAAACGCAGACTAGGTGAACATTTAGATTTGGTCACTAATTATATGGTCAGTACAGATATGCTGTTGTACGTGACTATTGGATATGGGATATGTTCAAGCCGTAGTCAACATTAGATGGACTCCTACATGTGCTGTTTGTTTCAGCTACCAGGACATTTCCTGCTGCCTACAGTCACATTTGGAATGATTTTAGGGTGTAATTGGGTTTTCTGGTCTGTAACATGGTTTTAGAAATAGTACAAATTCACTCAGTGTTGTCCCACCCTCATAATACATTTTTGACAAATAATAATAATAATAATAATAATGATAATTATTAACTTTTTTTATAAAGCACTTTTCAAAATAAAGTGCCTTAAGTGCATGGAACCAGGATTAAAACAATTAGAATCATAGAAGTGAGGTAGAATAAAAAGAATGACAGAGGCATAAAAGAAGAAAAAATTGTAAAAAAATAAATAAATAGTAACAATAAAACAAATGAAATATATTTAGCAATGGTGAACGGTGGCAAAAAAATGTAGACAATTACATTTTTTACGAAATTAAAAGAATAAACACTAATATATCATTAAATCATAATAATAATAACATAGATGAGACATAGAGGTATTAGATCCTCGGGCAGGGAGTTTCAGATGATCCCAGACTAGGGATGACTGAAATCTTGTCTTTGTTTTATTTATTCACTTACCATTTCAATAAAACCTTCTGTGTCTATCTGTTTCTATTCTGTTCCAGAAACATTCAGATTTGAACATATTTAGTCTGTAAAGACACTTAAGTGTCATTTGTACTTAAGAGGAAACACTACAGGTCTATGGGGTGCAAATATAACTAATAGATACAACCATGAACACTCCCAAGTTGATTACTTACATCAAGACAATTTGTTTTTGTATTACAAGTTTTCTTTAAATATGAAAAGTAGGCACTATCTAATTAAAAATTGCACTCATTTCTGTGAAATGTTGAAAAATGCTGAAAGATTAGGCATTGTCTAATACTAACTTTTGATGAAATCTGCAGATATATGCTTTTGTTTATAGAATTTTCTCATTCAAAAGCCTTTTATTTTTGCATGAATACGATGAACTAATAGATGGAAAAAGTGATTCATAAAAATCACAGCATTCATATTCATATCAGAGTGAATCAGAAATCATAGTATTATGATAATATTATAATAATATATAGTCTAAATCTCCCGCACATCTGGCACTATTAAAAAATCATCACTAACAAAGTATTTATTACCATATATTCCACTTTAAGTGTCCATAGATGCCCTAACATCTCAGTTGGGGAAGACTTACATATTACAATATGTTATGTTATGTTATGTTATGTTGTGTTGTGTTGTGTTGTGTTGTAATATGTGTTGTGTTATATTGTATATTATATCAGTTTAATACTTATTAATCACTTTTTCTGTAAATCATTTTGTATACATATTTCTTTTAACCCTCTATGGCATGGTGTTGCCCTCAGGCAACAAACCACTATTTTGGCCCACACACCCCCCCTTTAAATTTTTAAAAGTAACAAATCAAATTAAAAGTCAGATGATAAGTCTGTGACCAATGAAATTTGAGGTGGGCGTCGGTTTGACCTTTTGTCTGTGGCGGGAAAAGTCCTTTTTGGAACCATTGCCGACTTGGACACACTGCTAGCAGAAGGTAAGATAAATTTCACTTTTTAACATGTTTAAATTTGAATAACTTTGTATAAATAATATCTGTGATGTAAATGAATATGTGAAGAAGCATATTT